AAAAAAAAAAAAAATTTAAACTCCAAGGGTCGAAGTGGCTCACTCCTGTAATCCTAACACTCTGGGAGGCTGAGGCATGTGGATTGCTTGAGCTTACTAATTTGAAACCAACCTGAGCAAAAGGGAGACCCCCCCATCTCTACTAAAAATAGAAAAACTGGGCGGTGCCTGTGGCTCAAAGGAGTAGAGTGCTGGCCCCATATGCCGAAGGTGGAGGGTTCAAACCCAGCCCTGGCCAAAAACCACAAAAAAAGAAAAAGAAAAACTGAGGCAAGAGGATTGCTTGAGTTGGAGTTGGAAGTTGCTTTGAGCAATAACACCACAGCACTCTACACAGGGTGAAATTTGAACTCCAAGCCGTTTGCAGCCTTTGACCTGGTGAGCTGGTTCTGGGAAATACACCCCCTGGTGTCCTAGGCGCAGAGCAGTATCTGCTGTGCCACGCAGGGAAGGCCTGGCCAAGGGTTGTCCAGGTGGGAACTAAAATCCCCTGTCCCAAAGAACGTGAGATGGACCTGGCTGATGTGGAATCTGTGTTAGGGATCAGCATAGACTTGGTTTTCCACGTGGAAGTTTTATGATTATGTGGGATGTCCCATCCTTTTGAAACAAGTACTTCTGAATTGCAAGGGACAGAGTCATTTTGTACCTGCATTTGGTACAAAATGATGAAATGTGGTGGGAAGTGTGTCTCCCCCCAGCCATCGGCCCCATGCCAGGCTTGCACTCTTTCTGGTTTCTCCCACCTGCTTTGGGCTGCTGCCTTCATACTACTGGAGTGTTTCTTTTTTAGACAGAGTCTCACTTTGTTGCCCTCGGTAGAGTGCTGTAACGTCATAGCTCACAGCAACCTCCAGCTCCTGGGCTTAGGTGATTCTCCTGCCTTAGCCTCCCAAGAAGCTGGGAACCACAGGCACCCGCCACAACACCCAGCCATCTTTTACTGCAGTTTGGCCAGGGCTGGGTTTGAACCCGCCACCCTCAGTGCATGGGGCCGGAGTCCTACTCACTGAGCCACAGGTGCCGCCCACTACTGGCTTTTTGGACCTAATTTCTTTCTGTGGGAGTGAAGTGAAAGGGCTCCACTCTTTTTAACAGCTGCATAGTATTCCATCAGGGTTTATTTAAAACAGATGCTTAGGGTAGTGCCTGTGGCTCAGTGGGTAAGGCACCAGCCCCATATACTGAGGGTGGCAGGTTCAAACCCAGCCCTGGCCATACTGCAACAAAAACATAGCCGGGCGTTGTGGCGGGTGCCTGTAGTCCCAGCTACTTGGGAGGCTGAGGCAAGACAATCCCCTAAGCCCAAGAGCTGGAGGTTGCTGTGCGCTTCTGATGCCACAGCACTCTACTGAGGGTAAGAAAAGTGAGGCTCTGTCTCAAAAGAAAAAAAAAAGATGCTTATTAATGGTTATGGGATTGGGGCTTATCCGAACCTCAGAATGCAGCCTTATTTGGAAATAGGCTTTTGACATATGGATCTCATTATGCTGAGGTCATACCTGGTAATGGTGGCCTTAATCCAGGGCCTGGTATCCTTATAAAGACAGGGAGGCCAATGTGAAGACAGTGGCCAGGCCTGGAAGCCCAGGGCAGCTGCTGCTAGCAACCACTGGGTCAGGAGAGGTGCAGGATGGCTTCTCCCCAAGCCTCCAGAAGGAACCTGCTCTGATATCTTGATTTTGGACTTTGGGTGCCCAGAACTGGGAGGGAACACCTTTCTGGGGTTTAAGCTACCTGGTTTGTTTCTGGCCCTAGGATACTAAAATAGATACTTGATTCGTTCTCAGTTTTCTTCTAGGTTTAGGGTTCCCCACAGTGAGTGACCATGGGCCGTCTCTGCATGTCTCCTAGTTCCCAGGCCTTGGCTCTGGTCATAGGGCAGGGATGGGGGTCAGAGAAGCTGAAGGGAACTGCCACTAGTGTCCTATGGAGGAAGGTGGAAGGTCTGGGTCCAGTAGCCCTGGAGTGGGCCAGCACTCACCTATACAGAGATGCTGGGAAGTCCACTTCCAGGGTCCCAGAGGGGATGTAGGGCCGGGTGGCCTCCCGCCTCTGGGTCTGCATGTCTGCCTCTGTGTCCCTGCAGGCTCAGGCCAAGAAGGCCCCTGGGGCCATTGTTGACAGAGACAAAGGCCACTCAGAGTACCCTGGCAACCACCTGACCACTCCCTCCCTCCTCCTCCTCCTTAAGCTGTGGGCAGAGAGGTGGCCTCCAGGGAAATTCTGGAAAGTTGACAACAGAGCATGACATAGCATGGGTGAGGATTGTGGTCATGAGTCCCTAGTTCCTTGCACCCTTTACCTGGGGGCTCAGCACCCACAGCTCCCTCTCTGCATCCCCATGAGAGGGCTCCCCAACCTCTGATTCCCCTCCTCACCTCACACCCACCAGTCCTTTCTCTCTGTTCAAAACAAACCCAGGACAGAAGTGTGTCTATAAACACACAGCAGTACAGTGCACAAGTCTAAAGGTGCTCGTGAAATAACCCCATGTCCACTGATATATGAGTGGATAAACACAACATGTTCCATCCCCACATTGGAATATAACTCAGCTGTGACAAAGGAGGCTCTGACACAGGCTACAACATGGGTGGATCTTGACAACATCATGCTCAGTGAGAGGCCAGACGCAGAAAGACACAGAGTGTGAGACTCCATTTATATGAAATGTCCAGAACAGGCAGATCCACAGAGAAGGGATGTGGATTCATGATTACCAGGAGATGTGGAGGGGACGGGGAGTGACTGTTCATAGGGACATGGTTTCCTTTTGGGATGATGAGATGTTCTGCAATTAATGGTGACTGTGCAACATTGTGAAGGTACTAAATGCCATCAAATGGTTCCCTTTAAGATGGTGTATTATATGTTACTGTCTTACCACAATAAAAAACAATGTAAACAAGACAAAAACCAACACCACCTCTGCCTGGTCCTGACCTTGGGTCACATCCTGACCCATGTAGGTCCCCCCCACAGCAGACCCTGCCATTCTGGCCCAGGCATACTGCCAGGGCTGCCACCTCACGTCTCGGTCAAAGGCCTGTTCCTTATGACTCTGTCTGCCCCAGAACGGGCCCCACCACACAAGCTCCCAGAGGCCAGGTGCTCAAAATAGCCTCATCTGGATGGAAGGGCCCAGGGTGCAGCCTCCCTTCACCTCTCTCTCCTCCAATATGGTCAAACTGAGCCTGAAAACTGTTTGGGGGCTCCAGCTGCCCCTGCCCCTCCACGTCCAGGGCATCCTTGCCCTCCCAGCCACTTCCAAACCATCCCTCTGTCCTTCTAGGCCCAGCCAAACTCCTGCAAGGCCCACTGGGCTGATGCACCACCATCCTGGGCCTCTGCTATTCTCTCTCAGGACCTCCACCCACCGCATACCACCATCTTTCCAGCCCTCTCCACCTTCATCTCACAAGCTCCACTGGAGACCCAGGGAAACTCCATACCCTGACCCCCAGGGGTCTCAGGCAGCCTCTGCCTCCATCTGGGCTTCTCAAGCCTTGAGGCTGCTCCACTGGGCTCTAGCCCATCTGTCAGGGGGAGGTGTCAGCAGTGCCACCTCCAGGCCTGACATCCTTTCCCTGGGACCGTTATGTCCCTAATGGCTATTCCTCCCATAGCCAGAGCCATTTGGGCCACATGGGAATCAGGGGTGTATACTTCCACACAAGCTCAGCATGCCCCCACCCCCTCTTCCCACCAACAACTTTCCCCTCATTTGCTGTGCCCCCAGGTTCCCAGCCTGCAGGGGACAAGCTCAGATCACAAGCAGCCCCAACCTCCAGTGACAATATATCCAGGGGACACCTCTCCTCAGTGTGCAGTGAATTTAGGGACTATGTCTGCAGAGACAACCCAGTGAGGTCTCTGCAGCATGCAGGGGCCACATTCCCCACCATAAAAGCCAAGCATGGGCTGTACTCCAGAAGGGCCACTCAGCCAGGGGAGGGCTCCACCCAGACAGAACCCACAGATGCCAGCCAGCCCTGCCATGCATGAATCCACAACTTGTTTTAATGACAGTGACACTGCATTACATGGGAGCAAAGGCTCCATCTGTCCTGCAGGGCACCCGCCCACCTACTCCTGCAGCCCAGCCCCATTCAGAGTCACCAGAATCCCCCAGCAAAAAGACAATGTCTCACTCTCCTACATTTGGACCTGAAGTGGTGCAGTGGTTCCAAAGCTAAGGGGAGGGTCCTACAAAGGCCCACCTGGCTCCCATGCTCAGAGCTGACCAGGGCCTCCTAGCTGATGGTAGCATCTGGGCTCTCTGGCAACTGCATGGGGCTGAGTAAGGAAGAGGTAAAGGTGGGATATGTTTTCTCATTAAAAAATAAAACAAAAATACTCTGAAACAGTAAGACCTGGACCAACTGAAACATACACTTCTATATACACACTGTTTCTGTGGCAGGAGGGGGCCAGCTGGACACGTGTGGAGATGGATGCCAGACTATCTGGTGTGGCAAGTGTAGCTGACCCACCTTCCTCTAAATAAGCAGGCTTTGGACCAGTGACCCGGTTTCACCAGGAGCAGTGGGCAGGCAGGGGTCGGGTGGGATGCCTAGCAAGGCCCACAGTCCCTCCCCATCTAGCGTCAAACAAAAACACAAAGATCCAAAGCAAAGTCACAAATACATATATACACATGCACACACCTGGGTAGAGGGGCCAGGGGACAGCTGGGACTCTGCACGGCCCACCCCCCCAGCCTACTCCACCCTCTCTATATGTCCTTATAAACGGGGGAGGGGACAGTGGCATGAGAGAGAACTACTCAGGCCACCACACTCCGGCCTCACCCCTGCCTGCTGTCAGAGACATAAGAACATGAGGCAGTATCTGAGGATCAGATGTCAGGAGAAGCACAAGAAGCTCTGGAAGGACCAAGGGCCTCCCTTCCCCACCACAGTGGTAGGTGCAGATGGACAGAACCACCCAAGCCAGGCTGAGGACGGTGAGGCACCTGTAGGACACATGATGCTGCCCCTTGGTCACTTGAACCTTGCAGCCTTCATGGGATCTCAGCTACCCCACAGCACAGGAAGACTCGAGTTCTGCTTGGGGAAGGAGGACACCGGACCCACTGGTGACACAAGGGCTCATTCCCTAACCAGTGCAGCAAGAGGAGATCCCTTCAGCTTTCCTTAGTTGACGAATCCCTCTGGAGAGGTTCTCCTGTGGCGTTGAGGGTAATAGCCCAGCCAGGATGCTCAGGCCCAACCTGGGGCCTGCTGCCCACGGGAACGGGCTCCATGCAGAACACTTCCACCACAGATGGCAGCAAAGACACCTTCAAACCAGGTGGGGATGGCCCCTTGAGTGACCTGCACGCCATCTGGTTGACACAGAGGGCCACGTCTATAAAGAGGCAGCTAGGGGTCTCAAGTTCCCCCTTAGCACTGCCTTGCCAAGCCCTGGTATCCGGCTGTCTGTCCAAGGTGGATATGGGCTAAGATGGCAGCAGCAAGCACGGGCTTCCAGGAAGAACATGCAGCCCCGACCAGGAGGTGAGAGTCACAGATGGATGCAGGCGAGGGTCCCAGGGGTGTCCATCCCGTTCTAGGCGTAAACAGTCCAACTGGGGCCACGGGCCACCTGTGGTGGTTCTTGGCCTTTGAGAGGGAGACGGAGCCCCGGACCATGGGCCCAACCCAAATACTGGTGGATGTGGTTCACAACCAGGTGTTTAATGAGACTGTTCAGGGTTCTTTGGGCCCAGCTCCCCGCCCACCCTGCCACCTTCCTCTGGGGTTGTGTGCTGGGAGTCAGGGGCAGGGTCCATGCAAGCTGAGGACAGCTGGGGGTCTTCTGACCCTGGATGACTGGTACGGTGTGGTCCCGCTCAGCGGGTTTACCGGATCCTGGTGAAGAGGTTGAGGACAGACACAGACTCCTGCAGACACACAGGAGGAATGGGCTGAGCCACAGCCCCCAGGGAAGAAGGACTACCTTGAGGGAAAACAAAGCTGTGGGCCTAATCCAGAGGGGATGGCTGGGAGGCACCATCCCAGCCCTAGCCTGATCTGCTCCCTGGGTGCCCCCTGTAGGTGAGCTGGGTTGTGAGGTGAGGGGGGCAGGGAGATGGGGGGATTCCCAGGGGCAGGAATGCTTGAGAGGAGTAGGTGGTGGGTAGGGACAGTCTCTGGAGTGTGGGGAAGAGTGTGGCACTGTGATACCGACCCACTTTACCTTTGTTGAACGAGTTTTACTAAAGACATTCCAGAACCTCAGGGTCTCGTCTCCAGCACCAGTGACTATGGCTTCCCCATCAGGGGACATTGCCTGTGGACAGGAAAGGACTGAGGCTGCAGGCGGGCTCCAACCCAGGCCAAACTGGCAGAAACCGAGGTTGAAGCATTTTCCCTAAGACCCAAAGGACACGCCCCTGTGTGGAGGGATGATCAACTCTGCACAAATGTGCAAAGACTACTTAGATCACTAATGAAAACACACAAGGTTTTTCTTAAGACACAGAGTTTTACTCTGTTGCCCTCGATAGAGTGCCCTAGCATCACAGCAACCTTAAGCTCTTGTGCTTAGGCAATTCTCTTGCCTCAGTCTCCCAAGTAGCTGGGACTACAGGTGCCCGCCACAACGCCCGGCTATTTTTGTTGCAATTTGGCCAGGGCAGAGTTTGAACCCGCCACCCTTAGTATATGTGGCTGGCGCCCTATTCACTGAGGCGCTGCCCAAGAAAAAAAGTCTTGAAGAGAGAGAGGGCATATGGGGAGAGGGCTGCCCGTTTGATCCTGCCCAGCTACATGCAAAGTGTTTTTTGTGAGATAGCCATACAGATTTTGGCTTTTTTCTCATCTCTTTTGCTGAAAAATAAAAAATAAAAAAAAAGGTGGAAATCATTAAGGAGGGCAAAGCCCCTGACCTTGGAAGGCTGGGGACATTTGGTAAAGCACATTCAAAATGACAACAGAGGGTGGTGCCTGTGGCTCAGTGAGTAGGGCACCAGGACCATGTACCGACGGTAGTGGGTTCAAACCCAGCCCCGGCCAAACTGCAACAAAAAAATAGCCAGGTGTTGTGGCAGGTGCCTGTAGTCCCAGCTACTTGGGAGGCTGAGGCAGGAGAATCACCTAAGCCCAGGAGCTGGAGGCTGCTGGAGCGGTGACACCATGGCACTTTACCGAGGGTGTTAAAGTGAGACTCTGTCTCTAAACAACAACAAAATGACAACAGAACTAGGTTAGGTGTGGTGGCTCACACCTGTAATCTCAACACTCTGGGAGGCCAAGGTGGGCAGATTGCTTTAGGCTATAAGTTCAAGACCAGCCTGAGTAAGAGCAAGACCCAGTCTCTATTATAAATGGAAAAATTAGCCAGGCGTGGTGCCTGCAGTTCCCGCTACTTGTGAGGCTGAGGTGGGAGGATCACTTGAGCCTAGGAATTCAAGGCTGCAGACAATGCCCCTGTACTCCATCCAGCCCAGGTGACAGAGTTAAGACTGTCTCAAAAAAAAAAAGGGCCAAGCATGGTGGCTCACACCTATAATACTATCACTCTGGGAGGCTAAGATGGACAGACTGCTTGAGCTTAGGAGTTTGAGATCAGTCTGAACAAAAGCCAGACCCTATCTCTAAAAATAGCCATGAGTTGTAGTGGGTGCCTGTAGTCCTAGCTACTCAGGAGGCTGAGGCAGCAGGATCACTTGAGGCCAAGAATTTGAGGTTGCTGTGAGTTATGATGCCACAGCACTCTACCCAGGGCATGGAGTGTGACTCTGTCTCAAAAAAAAAAAAAAAAAAAAGAGAGAAAATGAAAATGGTGATAAAACCAACATATGCAACTCAATCGGCCAACCCTACTGCTGGTTTCAAAGGCCTACACCAGACCCAGTACAATTTCTCCCATGGAAAGAGGTGCTTGGGGCTTTTCCATGCTGCTTGCCTCATATGCATACTTACCAGGTACAGGACGCGGTAGGAGTGCCCAGTCAGCTTGGCCACCTGGGTCAGGGATGGGTACTTCCAAACAAGGATCTGGTTCTGTGAATACCCGTGTGTGCTCACCTGGGCATGCAGAAAGGACAGGTGGTTAGGCCAAGCTGAGGTTCCCCTCCGCCTTACATATCCATACAAGCACACACGAGAACTCAGAGACACTCACCAGAGCCCAAGAGTAGCAGGACACTCCTGGAAGTGGCTCTGCCTCTTGGGGAGTTCTGGAGGGCACAGGGTTACACCTCCCCCACCACAGCACCTGCACACACACCCCTGCACCACCCACAAGCCCGCTTCCAGCCTGTTCTGGTGATGGCACCAGGCCTGAGCCACCAGGAGTAGGTCAGGGTGCCCAACAGATGCCTGGCTTCTTCCTTCCCCTATGCCTCAGCAGAGGCAGCTATGGCAGACTCTACCACCTCGTCCTCACTGAGCTGTCACCTATGGGTATAGCTGGAATGTTGCTCAGAGATCTGTGCCTGTACCATGTGACGCTCTAATGGGCCCAAAGTCTGGGTCCTGCACAACTTTCTGCCTTCCTGGCTGGCCCCCTCCACCTAGCCCCTTACTGATCCATGCTAACACTTCCCCTCTGGCTCTCAGGTGCCAAGTGGGAAATACAAGCATCCAGGACTGATGTGGCACCAGTGTGACACCCCTACTCACCAGCTCGTTGGCATGCTTGGACCAGGCGAGGTTGCACACCTGGGAGCCTGTGTCAATGCACTGCAGCGGCTGCCCCGTAAGCGTGTTCCAGAAGCGGATGCAGCGATCAGCTGTGCCGCCACCGGATGCCAGAAGGCCATGCTGGTGTGGAGACCAGGCAATGGCCTTCACGGCCGCCAGGTGCTCTGTGTACTGCTGCACAGGACTGAGGCTTGAGTGGTTCCAGACTAGCAGCTGGGGGACAGGGGTTGTGAGGCCGGGGTATGCTCCCAGCCCCTGAGCAGCCTCATCTCTACAGGTAGGACCCTCAGTGAGGAAGAACTGCTTTTACACCACCCACCCCCACCCGTCTCACCTTGAGCCCCTCCCAAGCCTCCCTCAAGAATCCCTTGGGGTACACCCTTTTCACACTGTGCAATCCTACAGAATTGACCCAGAAGGAGGGAAAAGCCCAAGGTTACATGGGCAGCCAAAAGGGGCACAGCCAGGCTGAACCACTGCAGAACCCCCTCACCCCCCGAGTCACCAGTGCTGCCAGCATTAGCAGCACAATCCACAAAGCACAGCACCTGGGGAAGGGGAAGCCCAGGCTTTGGATGGGGCAGTGACACACCTGGGATGCCTACCTTGTTGTCGTTACCCCCTGAGGCGAGGAGCTGGTGGTCTGTGGACCACTTAAGGCCGCACACCTCCTGCCGGTGGCCCTGTAGCCGCCGCTCTGACTGCAGGGGTGGGGTGCGAATGTCCCTCTGCAGGATCATGCGGTCGCGGCTCCCAGAGGAGAGCTGGTCGGCATTCCAGGCCAGTGCCCCTGGGGGACAGGCAGAAGGCAGGTGAGTCTGGGGCCTGGCCTCAGGAGCTGGGCCCCGAGGGCAGGGCATCCACCCACAGGACCTGGGTCTCCTCACCCACACGTGCTGTGTGGCCTTCCAACATGGATAGTTTCTTCCCTGCGGCTGCGTCCCAGATCTGTACAAAGCCCTTGTGTGTGCCGACTGCCACCAGGTTCCCCTAGGACCAAAGCAGTAGGTGTCAGGCCCCAGTATGGGGGCAGCCAGGCCTTGGTCACCCTCAGATCTGTCCTTACCAGGGCTTCAGGGTAGTTTCTCTAAAAAAATCTTTTTCTTGAGACAGAGTCTCACTCAGTCACTCTGGGGTTGAGTGCCATGGGGTTATAGTTCACAGTCACCTCAAACTCTTGGGCTCAAGCAAGTCTCTTGCCCGGCTAACCCTTCCCAAGTAGCTGGGACTAGAGGCAGTCACCACAATGCCTGGCTAGTTTTTAGAGACAGGGTCTCATACTTACTCAGGCTGGTCTCAAAACTCCCGAGCTCAAGCAATCCACCCACCTTGGCCTCCCAGCATGCTAGGATTATAGGCATGAGCTACCTTACCCCACCTTCTAAAAAATCTTCAATATGCATACTGTGGATGAAGCTTAAAACCCTCCTCAGGCCTCACTGGTGTGAAGGGCATGCCCCAGGCATGTGGTGTATGGGGCTGTCCAAGTATAGCAAGCATACCCAGGGCCTGCACACTTGTACTGTACTTGTACTTCTTTTACACAGAAAAAAGGAGAAAAACTACAAACACTGAATAGACGCTGCAGAGCTATGGGCACAGTGCTCAGCTGCTGCCATCAACTTTGAAGGTATCACAAATAAGGAGAAACGAATGGATGGTAAGGATGGGACAGTGAGTGTTAAGCACTAAGAACAGCTCTGGCGGAGGTCAGGGTGGGGCATGGACCTTCACTGGAACATCCTGTCTACTCTGCTGCTTGTACACCCTCATAATACTATGTAAAACTGAAACCCCAGTGTCCTCGAGTGAAACTGGAATTGCCAAGGAGCCAAAACTGCAGCTAAACAAATCAAATCCCAGGGGTGGGTGTGGGTGGTTGGGGTTTGCTTCCAGGCTAGTCCTAAGGCCTGAGGAGCTGGCGGGGCTGCCCTCCTCACTGTAACCCTCTCTTCCAGCAGTGAGCCAAGGTTAGGGACAGTTGGGGCACAGGCCTGTGCTTGGATACTGGAGCATCAGGCCATGTTTTGCAGCTTCACGGCCTCCTAGCACTGTTGGGCAGGGGGCCAAGCTGTCTGGACTCACCCGCTCAGACCAGCCCACGGAGGTCACTGAGTCTCCTTCCACAGAGAGGTCGCAGAGCCGGGTCACCTGGGGGCAGAGGTGAGTGTGATCTTATACTCTATCAACGGGTCCTTCAAGGTTCCAAACCATCCAACCATCTGTCCATCTCTGTTCATTCACTCACTCACTGCCCCAAGCCTATGAGGGTGCCCAGGCTAGGTTAGTACAGAGAACTAGGGGAGGTCAGCACAGGGCTGAGCCAGGGGATTCAGTTGCCAGAAGCAGGGTGGGATGGGTCCCAGGAGGGGACATTCAGGAGATGAGGGTATAGCCCAGAGGGTGATGGAAGCTGCAGTAGGTACAGACTACAGGCTGCTGAAGGGATGGGCAAAACGATGGCCATCTCTCTGTAAGGCCTCTGTGCTTTTCTTTTCTTTTTTTTTGAGAGAGTCTTACTTTGTTGTCTGTGGTAGAGTACCGTGGTGTCATAGCTCACAGCAACTTCAAACTCTTGGGCTTAAGCGATTCTCTTGCCTCAGACTCCCAAGTTGCTGGGACTACAGGCGCCCACCACAAGGCCCAGCTATTTTTTTGTTGTAGTTGTCATTGTTGTTTGGTGAGCCTGGGACAGGTTGGAACCCACCAGCCCTGGTATCACTGAGCTATAGGCACTGAGCCTGCAGGCTTTTCTTTTGAGGCCATTTGTGCAATGTGATCCTGAGAACACCCCATCCTATGAGTGATGCCTGCTGCTGCCAAACACCAACAGCCACACTCCCAGGAGACTAGCAGGCTCCTTGTGTCCAGTGGTTACTCCAGGATATCAACCACTTCACTGTCATCATGTCATGGTCCTAGTTTCAGGCAGGCCAGGATACCTATTGCCCTCTTCTAGAGGAGCTGTGTAGGATATGGAGATGCTCTGCTCACACCTGCTCTCTTGCCCTGGAGACCCCAGGGACAAAGTAGGCAGGAAAAGCTAACCAAGGGCTGCCCCAGTTCTTCCTCACAGTGACACCAATACCCTCCACACAGGCCCCAGAGCACAGGGACACCCACAGCCTATGCTCAAGCCATCTACCTGGCTGGTGCATGCGCTCCACAGGTACACGCAGGTCCCCAGCCCTACGCTGAGCACATTGAGGGATGACCAGTCCACCAGGTTCAGATAGAAGTCATCCTGCAGCTCGGGTGCATCCAGGACCTTGAAAGGGATCTTGGAGATCTTGCGGGTGGGTTTCCGAGGAGACCGGAGCAACTTCTGACTGCAGAGACGGCGATGCAGCATCCGTCAGCCAACTTGTCAGTCACTTTTTGGCAAATGCACAGGAAACATTTCCTCCTCTGCTGTCCCCACCCCACTCAGAGGCCAATACTGCTGGGCCACAGCATGTTCTCAGTAAGAGGTTCCTCTGGGACCCTCTGGGCCTGGTGCACACCTCTATTCTAACCATGATTCCCTGGGGACCTGGGCCTCCCAGGTTGGGGGGTGGAAACGACACCTCTAGGCCAACCTCTCCTGGCCTGGATCAGCCCCCCCTGCCTGTCACTGCAGGAATCTACTGCTGAGGCTTGGACTCACCTCTTGTTGCTGACGGGGGACAGGGAATATGGTGACACGTCGTTACCATCATCAGGGCTCGAACGCTTGGTGCTGAGGGAATACTGGGGTGGGGGGACATGCAGGCTAAGCAGGTGCTGTAGCCCTGGAACCTAAGCATCCTGTGCCTCTGCTATAGGCAGTGGGGAGCAGAGTGCATACCGGCCACCCCTCCAGCCCACAGGAGTAAGGAAGCACTGAAGCTGTGAGGGAGGAGCACTGGGTAGGGAGGAGCAGACCACGCTTCAATCTGGGGTGTCTGCCCTACAGGGACTACAAACACCAGCACCTTTTTCCCTGCCTGATAGGACCCCAGCCCCTTAGCCTGCTCGTAAGGGGCTCGAGTTGCGACATCTGACTCTGCCCTCAGGCTCCCTGACCACCTCAGGCAGGCAGGAAGCACTCTGTGGAGACCTGTGCCTCCACCAAGACTGGGCCCAGCCTCTTCCTGCAGACACCCTCAGCTGCATGTCCGAGCACCTTGACTCCCCAGCTGGGGCCCTCATCATCCCTGGTAATTGGGACCCAACACAACACTGCAGTGGGTGAAGGAACTTGAAAGGCTAGCCCAGATCCTTCCTGCACCCCTAGCTCTTGGCTTGTTCACTGGGCTTCAGGCATCGGAGGATGAGACCCCTATCCCAGCCAGTCAAGGAAGAAGCATCTCAGATGGGGGCAGGAGCTGTGGCCAGGGGCAGGAGCTGTGGCCAGGGGTAGTGCTCCAATGGGTCTCTGAGGCCTGGGACCCACGCTGGAGGAGGCAGAACTGGGAGGCCATACCATAGGGGGTGTGGGCTCTGGGCCCAAGGGGGTAGGCAGGATGGGTGGGCAGTGAGCTCACCGTAAAGAGGCCCTTCTTCTCAGGCGTGGAAGGTTGCAGCCTGCGGTCCTCGGTCTGTGGGTCCTGGACCTTTTCGATGCCGGCTCCCAGTAGCTCATTCTTGAGCAGGGCAGAGTAGGCCAGGCCATCTGTGGGCACCAAGAACAGTAAGGCAGGGTGGGGGTGGCACGGGGACCTGCAGGGACAAGGTGGGCTCTGACTCCTAACCTTTGCCGTTGTCCGAGGTGGCATCCTTGGCCTTCCGGTTTTGGCTGGGTGATTTCTCGTTCTCCTGTAGGGAGGAGTGGAAAGGGTGGGAGGGGACTCTTATACCCACTAGCCCTGGAGCCTGTATTCGTTTCCCCAGGGTCCCACCTCTCCCTGAGGCTGGCACCCTCACATTGATCCTGTGGAAGTTCACGCTCCAGTTGGCCCCAGCTCTCGAAGGGATGAAGCGGTCTCCGTGCTTGCTGGGAGATGACACTGGGGAGTTGGCAGGCGTCAGAGTTCGCCGCATCTCTGTAACCTAAGACCACAGTGGGAGGGGCTCATTCTTGGCCCTCAGAGACCCTCAGAGGAGATCCCCAAGGCTAGGCTATCCTGGTCTCTGGCCACTGAACAAAGTGTGTGTGTGTGTGTGTGTGTGTGTGTGTGTGTGTGTGTGTGGCTTTGATCTTAAAAACCTGAAGGACGGAGATGAAGCATTTTGGTCAGGTGCTAGAAGCCTCCTGGAGGTGCCAGGCTGTGGGTGGTTGCATCCCTCCAACTCTGGGGCTCAAAGAACAGGGCAGAGGCGTGGGGATGGGGGCCAGGGGCAGGAGAAGGCAGGAATAGGAGGCTGCGGGGGAAGAAATACAGCCTAGGAGCAGGGCTGGGGGAAACCTGACTGCCCTCCCAGAGCTGTCAGAATGCCACGTGGCTTTGCAATTTCTAAGTCATCATAGATAGAAGTGTTGACAGTATGGGACACAGAGCATTTCCTGCTGGAACCCCCAGGAGTCTGCTGCCCTTCACATGAGTATATTCCTGCCTACTACCTTCTCACCTGAACCAGGCCCACAGCTGTCATCAAACCCTCCCACCCCATTCCATCATCCCATTACATCTTTTTTCTTTTTTCTTTAGAAGGGATCTGCTGTGAGCTGGTGTCCCACAGGACATGCTTGTGTCCTGAGCTCCACTACCTGGGAATGAAATCTTATCTGGACACAAACTCTTCGCAGATGTAATCACAATCGAGTTCATTGGTGTAAGAGAATAGAAATAGGAACAGACACAGGAATATAGTCATGGAAAAGAGGCAAAGACGGCACAACTAGGCCATGGCCAAAGGATGCCTGGAGCCCCCAGAGGTTGGGGGAGGCCAGAAGGACCTCTCCTGATGCCTCTGGAGAGGGTGAGGCCCTATGAACTCTGATCTCAGAAGTCCAGCTGCAGGCCTGCACCCAATGGACACATGGCTACTGTTCAAGCTGCCTATTCTGGGGCCTCTGTAAGGCAGACAAGGAAACGAATACAGGGTCCATGCTGGGGTCACCTCACACCTGTCATCACATCTTTGTGGCCCTCCTGCCAGTTTGGGATGCTCTTCAGAATCTCTTGTGACAACTCTTGACACTTGAAAGGTTTTGGTCCCAGCTCCACAATTCTTGAGCCCATTACCTACTAGCCCCCCTAGGACCAACCCATTCAGCCCTGACAGTCCTAGGGACAGGCTGGTGCTCCTCACAGCTGGAGTGTGGACGTTGGCTGGCTCCCCCAATCCCCAAAGGGGGAATGGCACCTGAGGGGACCCAGGATGCTAGCAGGAGGAGGGGCACACGGAACCACTGGCCACCCAGGCCCAGGGAAACACAGAAAGAAGGTCACAAGTACTCACACAGGGCATTGTGTTCTCATTCTGGATGACAATCTGGCGCAGCAGGCGCCGCTCATAGTCCTGGTCCATAGTGAGGCAGGGCACCGCCACGGGCTCAGCCTGTGGGAGGGGGGAAGTGAGAGGGTCAGCAAGGCAGGGTGGCAGCAGGACAGGCAGCTATACCCCTGGGGCCTTAGAAACCAGAGTGGCTCAGAGCAAGCACTGACTGGGCCCCTCGGCCTCCCTTGGGTAGGGGGGCTCCTGCAGCCTCTTCACCTCATCCTAGGTCACCTAGGTCCCTCCTCATGGCCTGTTGTAGAACCTTCCAGCCCACAGAGGTCCCACCCCATCTGCCTACCTGTGAAGGGAAAGGGACCTTTCTGCTCTGGGGTCTGGATGGGAGGCAAGGGGGTGAGTTGGTGGCCAGGAAAGAGTCAAGGTGTTTTCAGCAAGGTCTCCTCCCCAAAACATGGGCAGCCTTGACATCCTGATTGGCCAAACCATAATGCATGGGCCCCATATGCACACATGTAAGTGAAGGAGCAATGAGCCTCTTGTCCACAGGAGCTTGCCTAGAAAGGATTCTGTTCCAGCTCCAGCTGCCATGTGGGGTCCGGAGCCAGGCTGGACTGGGTGACAGCTCAGGCAAGTTGCACTTGGTTACAGGGGAGGAAATGTCATGGGGCCCTTAAGCTCGGCTCAAGCCAGAAAGGCCTCTCTGAGGAGGCGGTGTTTAAGTTGAGGCCTGAAGACAAGTGGTGGTAAGGAGGCCAGCAAAGCACATTTCAGAGAAGGAAGAGAAGATCTGCACAGCCTAGAGTAGAAAGGGGGTTGGCCCATTCCCGGTGAGAGCTCCCCGGTACACAGAGAAGGTGGCGAAGATACGAGACTCTTTACCTCTTTATATCAGGGCTCTGCTAGCTACAGCCCACAGCCAAATCCACAACGCCTATTTTTGAAAATAAGGGTTTGGGTTTTTTGTTTTTTGTGTTTTTTTGAGACAGTCTTTACTTTATCACCCTTGGTAGAGTGCTGTGGCTTCAGAACTCATAGCAACCTCAAACTTGGGCTCAAGCAATTCTCTTGCCTCACCCTCCCAAGTATCTGGTACTACAGGCGCCCACCACATCGCCTGGCTATTTTTAAAAACAGTGTCTCGCTCCTGCTCAGGCTAGTCTTGAACTCATAAGCTCAGGCAATCTACCCACCTTGGCCTCCCAGAGTGCTAGGATTACAGGTGTGAGCCACCATACCCGGCCTTAGGTTTTTGTTTTTTTAAGAGACAAGGTCTTGCTCTGTCACCTAGGCTAGAGTGCAGTGGTGTTATAACTCACTGTAGCCTCCAATTCCTGGATGATCCTCCCACCTCAGCCTCCTAAAGAGCTGAGACTACAGATACCATCACACCAGCCTATAAGTAAAGTCTGATCACCACACAGTTGCGCTTTGTTGTTTACATACTGTCCATGGAAGGGGTCATGCTACAAGGCAGAGTTGTCAAGAGAGCCCGCCTGGCCCTTACATTAAAGGCCTGAAAGCCCTGTGTGACCTGAAGGGCCTCTTCAGAGGTAGATGGAATTCAAGTGAAGCAAGACTTTTCAGCACAAAGCCTGGCACAGAGGGAGCCTGGAAAACTCCAATTGCTCCTCATCCTGCCTATCTGCTGCTTTGGGTGGCTCCTCTGGCAGTAGCCCAGTGGTATTAAAGGCCCTCAACAACAGGCCAGTTCCGGGTTCTGAGCCTCCACATGGGCACCCAGGATTGGCAACTGATCAAAAAAGTAGTTTACCAATTCCCACTAGCACTATGGTAAAGTCAACATGTCCCTTAAAACAATGTGGTAAAAAGGGTGGCGCCTATGGCTCAGAGAAGGGCGCCAGCCCCATATGCCAGAGGTGGCAGGTTCAAACCCAGCCCTGGCCAAAACCTGCAAAAAAAAAAAAAGTGGTAAAATATGTAACAAAGGGCTCGGCGCCTATAGCTCAAACAGCTAAGGCGCCAGCTACATACACCTGAGCTGGTGGGTTCAAATCCAGCCTGGGCCTGCCAAACGACAATGACGGCTGCAACCAAAAAATAGCCAGGCGTTGTGGTGGGTGCCTGTAATCCCAGCTACTTGGGAGGTGGAGGCAGGAGACTCGCTTGAGCCCAGAAGTTGGAGGCTGTGACGCCACAGCACTCTACCCAGGGTGACAGCTTGAGGCTCTGTCTCAAAAAAAAAAAATATGTGACACAGTTTACCATTTTAACCATTCTTTTTTTTTTTTTTTTTTCAGTTTTGGCCGAGGCTGGGTTTGAACCCTCCACCTCCAGCATATGGGGCTGGCTCCTTACTCTTTGAGCCACAGATGCTGCCCCATTTTAACCATTCTTAAAGGCACAGCTCAGGGGCACTACAGACATTCACAATGTTGTGTGACCACTCTCTACTTCTATAACTTTCTCATTTTTCCAAACTGGAACTCTGTCCCCATGAGACACTAATTCTGGTAACCTCTTGGTCTTAGTTTTCCAATTGACCCAATAATTCCACGCGTAGATATACATCCAAGAGAAAGAAAACACGTGTCCACACAGAAACTTGTTCATGACTGTTCACAGCATGATTCATATTAGCCAAGAGGTGGGAAGAGACCAAGTGTCATGGACAGGTAAGTGGATAAACACAATGTACTCCATCCACACACAGGAATATCACTCAGCCATGAAAAGGAACGAGGCTCTCACACAGGCTACAATGTGGGTGAACCTTCAGGACATCATGCTCAGTGAGGGAAGTCAGACACAGGACACATACAAGTCAGAGTATGTGACTCTCCTTATATGAAACATACAGAACAAGCAGATCCACAGGGACAGGAAGAGGAGTGGAGCTAATACTTGCCTTTTATAACCCAGACACCTGCAGAAGGTACTGACTTGGTACCTACCACCAGGAGGGGAACAAATCTGAGTTATCTGTTGTCCCTGTTCCTTGGGAACTCCACTCTGACAATGAGGTGGCTGGAATCCTCCTTTCATACCCCCAATGGCTTCTCTGATGAGTTCCTGGGCCTAAAGGGGAGGCGCTGTGGACCATGTGGCTGTATCATCATGTGAGCTTGTTGGGTCCTCCTCTGGGCAATGCTGCCCTGGCCTACAGTTCTGGGACACACAAAGGGCTCCCCAGGACACCTGTAGGTCCTGAAGCTGAACAGCCTCAGCCATAGCAGAACCAGTCAGATTCTGAGGGACAATAGTGTGCAGCCAGCGGTCCTGTTGTCACTGGGTTTTTGTGTTATATCTCACACTCCATTGCATGGCCTTATGAACCTGATGCCAGCACCACCCCTCATGCAGGTGACACTAAGGCCAAAGGTGGGGCAGTGATGCTCCAGGATCAGGTGGAAATACAAAGGGGACCCTGCCCTGTGGCTTCTCTGCCTCAGGGACATCAGGCCTTCTGCTCTACTAGGAATTGGGGCTACGTTTCCTTCCACCCCCCTGGCAGAAACCCCCCGAGTCCTCCACATGGCTCAATTTGAGGCCCAGATCCTGGTCCTAAGAAGTGGCTAGTAGCTATCTGCCTCTTCCTGAGCCAACCCCTCCCTTGGGCCACCTCTTCCCCCACACAGCCAGTGGTCTTTCCACAGGATGCAGCCATCTCCTCCCTGCCACCCAAAGGCCCAGCCATGTTCAGGAGTTCCACACATGCCCCCACAACCCCAAACCACTCCTGTGGTCATGCTGGCCATACCCAGACCAAGAAGGGGCCAATGGGTCTATCCCTGTTGGAAGTATCCATTTGAGGGCCAATTGCCTAAGTCCAAAGCTCAGCCATAGCACCAAGCTAAGTGCTAAAGAGAAGTAACCCACAGGAAGGCAGGCCAAATGGAGAAGCAGTCATCGCTCTGTTCTAGAAAGTTCCTCCTCCCAGTGAGGCATTTTCTGAGAGTCCTGCAAGTCAACTGTGCCATGCTCAAAGAGGCTGGGGAATGCCCCTGAGGCACAGAGTCCTCACTGTTCCCCATGGGTTAGAGGACTGATTCTTATAGGAGTTGGGAATGTACAAAGGTCCATAAGCACTCAAAGAATGGAAAAGAAACCACAGGATAGATGCTACCTTCAAAAGCAGAATCGTTTTATGGAAAACCCACCCTGGTCTGCACTAGACTGCACCTCTAGCTTGAGGATGCATGGAGTGGTATGTGCGGCCTCAGAGGACATCAGCCATGGTCACAGACAGGGAAAACAGCTGGAAACATCTGTTTCATTAATAGCGGGGGCCAGACAGCAGCATGTTACCTTTGAACACTAAAAACTAAGCAAAGCCCAAAACCCTGCAGTTGCTCCAGAGGCCAGTGTACCCAGTGGGAGCTATGAAGCTGCTACCATGACACCAAGAGTCCTAGAGCCCAGTACTGAATTTGCTGAGTCTGGCAAAATGTGAGGCTGTTAGGGAGGCCACCAGCTGCCGCCTTCCACTCCACCCGGGTCTGGATGGTGCAGGCAGCTCATGAGGCCCGTCAAGCAACTTGCCATAACAGGCTTCTCTGAGTCAGAGATGATCCAGATGTCCCAAGTGTGTGTAGGGACAGGGGTCCTCAGAACCTGTGTACAGGTCTCCTCACATGGTCGCAGGGCCTCTGCAGATAGGACTGAGTTAAGGACACTGAGAAAGGAGGTCATCCTAGATTGCCAGTGTTAACACAGTTCCTCATACAAGGAGGCAAGAGGGTCAGAGGCAGAGGGAGACTGAAGATGATGCACTGCCGGCTCTGCAGGCCTGGGTAGTGCACATCATAGTTCTGCCCACCGGACAAAGATCACATAACCAGATGATGAAGAACCACCCTGGGGCCAGACTCAGTGGCTCACACCTGTAATCCCAGCACTCTGGGTGGCAGAGGTGGGTGGATTGCCTGAGCGTGAAGGCTTGAGACCAGCCTGAGCAAGAGCAAGACCCCATCTCTAAAAAGCTGGGCATTGTGGCGGGTGCCTATAGTCCCAGCTACTCGGAGTCTAAGGTTACTGTGAGCTACAATGCCATGGCACTCTACCAGTGGAGACAAAGTGAGACTCCGCCTCAAACAAAAAGAAGAACCACCCAGGCAGCTGCTCATGCTACCAGGAAGTAAGGG